CTCTAGTTGTTCAATTTGAACATTTTTTAAAAGAATAATTAGCACATACAGAAATTTTTGCTTTCCTTTCAGTAATACATGTTAAATTCTGGACTTTTAAGTATTTCAGTTTTCTAGCTCTTATTAACTGATTTCATCAGAGTTAACCCCATTAATGAAAACATGGTATGTTTCAGTCAAGGCTATTTTACCCAGAATTCCCTAAGCACATTGCCTCTGAAGAAGGCTATCAATAAACAATGTTTGAACTAGAATATATTAACTATATATCTATTAATTATATACATATATAAAATTATAGGTAGAAAGAGAGTGAGAGAGGGAGAAAGATCCTTAAGTTTCTCTAAAGAGACCTAATAAGAAATGGGCATGTGAGATTACCAAAGACACGTTCTCATAGAAACACACTAAAGCAATTGTGAAAGAGAAGTAAAATAGTAATTAAAGAAAGAGGATAGTCAGAAGTTAATAATGAAACAAGTGAAAGATACACTACACAGTATCATGGGAGGAGGGAGATAGAAAGGACTTAAAAACTTTTTAAAAACACACACACAATAAGGGGAGTACAAGCAATCTAGCAATAGAAAGTAAATAAATATATGTAGTTATGTATATACATACATCTTTCCAAATACATAATTACATATATTATATAGTTTTGTATATAGTCTCATATATGTATCATATTTTGTATATTTATGTGTATATTAGAGACAGTGGTTAACTTCAAAGCAAAAAAAGAATTTGAGAAAAATAGCATGCATCAGTTTTAACAGAATTGGTTCTTATCACAGCTAGAGGAAGCAGAAAGAAAATTAATAATGTAAGCTTAGGTAACTTTAATAAAATGCTGAGTAAGAATGTAGGAAATGGTTGAAAACTGTTACAAATGTCTTAACTGCTATTTTAAAGAAATGAAGATACAATTATACAGTCCTTTAATTTCAAAGAGAATAATTGGGAAAATAAAAGTTGAAGAAATTTCTGATAAAACAAATTGCAAATCGGCAAAGCTCTCTAAAAAGCCATTTGCTGTGAAATGTTACTACTTTGAAATGAGCATAATGATCATTAAAGATTAACAATTTAAAGAAATCCATTTTTTTCCTAATCCAGAGTTTATAACAAAAGTAAAAGCTTAATGGAAGCTATATAAAAATAAATATCGACTCAAATTTAGGAACTTTAAGAGTATAATATTGTGAAATAAACTCAAATATAAAATTCAGCAAAAGAATTTATAGTATTTTTAAAATTATTATCATTTTAATAAAGTTAACTTTTCCTATTCAGGGTATGGTGTGTGTGTGGGGTGGGAGGGGAGAGGGTGTTTGAGCATATGTGCATACAAAGATATATACTGCAAGTTCTGATATAGTCTTTCAAGATGAACATAATTATAATTAAGGTTAATTTCACTTGTACATAAATAACATATCTTTAAGTCACAAAATACAATGAGAGCATTTCTGCTTATTGCAGTAAACCTCAAATAAAATAAAAGGGAAACCATTCTATCATAATTTCTGACTAATATCCTATTTATCTATCTATTAAATATAAACATTTATCTACCATAAAATATATTTTTTTCTGTGTCTTGCAGTGAGTCGAGATTGACAGTAGGTACTCAGTGTTAAGCTATCCATTCAGTAACAAAACTGAAAACAAGTTAATATATATTTTTTGAGTTTTGTTTAGTATTTTGTAATTTTAAGGTGTTAAATAGCAATTGTACTTAATAAAAATTTTTAAGATGAGATTGGGATTTTCCTTTTCCTTTTCTTTGCAGAGAAGTTTATATGACAAGATCATGAAAGCAGAATTGGAATTTCATTCATGGAAAATACTTGCAATTAAAGACAACTTGGTGAATGCATTAAAATGCATTTTAACTATGGCACCAAAGTTATAGTTAAGTAAAAATTTAGAAAACTCAAAATCTGAATGATAGAAAATTTGATTTTCTGTTTTTATTTTTTTAAAATGTATCAGTTACTAATCTAACTTGCAAAACACTTGGTAATACTATACAAGTTTTAAAAGCTGTTGCAATTGCCATATAATTGTTATAATGGCTGCTGCAAAAGTCTCTTTTATAAATGTTCTGAAAGTATATTCTCTTTTATATATATATTAGATCTTCCTAGACAAAATTAAATGTTATAAAATGAAATTTAATAGAAATAGTTTGTTGCAGTCATAACATCCTCATTTCTAGTAAGTAAATGACTTGCCCAACAAAATATTCTAAGAACCTTTTTCCTTTTCTGCTAGAAATTCCTCCACCTCAGATCTCCTCCATATTGAAGACATTGTTGACTATACTTTTCCAGAGTGGTAACTAATTCAGGAGATAGTGACAGGTGAAGAAGATAATGAAAATACTGGAAAAATACCTTTCATACTTTCTTTTCTTTGAAACCATCATCCATATACTCAACACTAACCATTTTCTTAAATAAATGGACTCCACAATCTACCATATTTATTCCTCTCCATGAACACCCTGACATCCTCTCTGCTTGATTTATTCTCTATCCCATCAATTCATCATTCCCCCAGAATCACCATATGAGTCTCAACTCTTATCCCCAGAGCTACTGCTTACTGCTTCCCCCTCGTACCTCTCATCCTCTTTACCAGAGAACCAGCCCTCAGGCATGTGTTATGAACAGTTGCTAGAAACTTGAGGGAACCCCACCAGAGTGTTAGAGCCACAAAAAGGAAAAAAATGGATTTTGTGGTATCCAAAGCGCTTTAGAATGCATTGCTTTTAAGTAAGATTATTGTATATGATAGTTTCTCTAGTGATTTCAATAACCCTATTGTGCTTCAGGTACTTTTTTTAATTTAAAGTAGTTAAAATGGACCAACCTGAGAGATTAACGTATTAAATACATACGGAACTTTCTGTGGGAAAAAATGTCTACATTCCAGAAAAATTTTTTTTTAATTTTTTAGGGGAGAGGTAGTTGGGTTTATTTATTTATTTATTTTTCGGGGAGGTACTAGGGATCGAACCCAGGACCCTGTGCATGCCAAGCATGTGCTCTACCAGTTGAGCCACACCCTCCCCTACATTCCAGAAAAATATTTTTAAAAGTCTTTCTTTTAGGATGATATGCTTCTACTGCATTCCAGATGTTTCCTTGCTGTTGATATCTCAATTACTGTATTATTCATGACATTTTCCACCCCTTTTCTTCCTCTACCTCAGTGGAATATGGGGAGAGTAAGTTGGATATGTTCAACTGTTGCAAATCTTTTTTTTAAATTTTGAATAGAAGTACCTTCAGGGTGCTGCTTCTCTGTTTACTAACTAGTAGCTGATCATACCTTCCTCCATAGACATACACACATACTCACATATCTTCCTCACCAAGCTATGTCTTCAACTTCTTTCTTACTAGTATTCAGGGTACTGTTTTTGCTTCCAAACACTTTACTAGATATCTTATTTCTCAATAAGTTGTTTAGAATAAACAGAATGAATAAATTAATAATAATAAATTAAAAGAAATAGAATAAATAGAAATATGTAGAATAAATAATCTAGATTTAAGCTGAGAAAGAACAATGATAAATATGGAGTCCCTCAGTGACTCCAGAAATAGGCTCAGAGTTAAGGAACACTAATATACAAAACTAAAAAGTGACAATTTGGGGGGGAAATATACAGGAGGAGGATCTTGGCTAGAGCTAGGACATGTGGCTTTGGACATCTGCGCTAAGGCATTTTGACCTTAGCGTGTATAGGGGCTTATTTGGGGCTAGAGGGCATTTACAGTGTAATATAGACTTTTTAACTTCTGTGGACTGGGCAAAAGGCTTCAGAGTGCAGGCTGCCTTGGCAGACGACAGCTGCAAGAGAGGATTAGCAAGCAAAGGCATGAGTCATGTGGGCCTCAGCAAAAGCATGGGTGGTCTTGGCCAAAAACGGGGGACTTTAGGATACAGACGGCTGCAGCTTGATCTTAAACCACACTTAGAGCATATATGCTGGCAGCCAGGGCTCTACCAGATGCCTTGCCAGATGCTAGCAAATCACAGAGGCCTTTGTAAGCAGGCACAGCTGAGGCAAATACACAATTATAGGAAAAGAGTGTCTTCACAAGCCATTTAGGCGCGGGTTGGCAGAACAATATTTGCTACTTTAAAATTACTCAGCAGCTGTGTTCCACATGTGCTAGCAGCACTAGGGAGGTTCTAGCTTTAAACTGTGAGTTCCAGACCTAAGAATGTAGGGCTGGATGGACTCCTATTTCATTTGAGTTTTTAGAATAGATGAACAAAATGAGATAATGGAAAAACACTAAAAAGCCAAGCAAGAACAAAAATACCACTTAGCCCACTACTGTAGAAAATGCAGCGATAGTGAAATGCTATTCAAGTTTGTAATAATAAAACAAAGGAAAGACTATGCCTCACATGTTGATTCTTATTGGCCCCTTAGGGGTTTGGCCTCAGAAACATCAACAGCAGCTTCAGCTGCAGAGCATGTCTTTTTAGCTGAAACCAAAGTGGGAAAGGAAACATTCTCTAGGAGGCAGGTTCCCTAGGCCTAGGATTGCACACTGAAAGGAACAGTGGAAATGACTCAGAAGTGAAAATGCCTGTTTATGTGAGAGAGTGGTCTGCATGTGGTCAGTATTAGACTACTAGAAACCCCTTGTTTGAAGGGAAATGACAATTAATGTGGTAACTAACCACAGTTCCATGATTAATCACTCAATAGGAATGTTTTAGTTCAGACGATTTTGGAGACATGACAAAGAATAAATTGTCTCCTGGTCATTCCAGGAAGGCTATAGTCCAGGTTGACTACCACCTCCTACCTTTACTCACTTAACACCAAACCTACACTACAGTCTCTTACAGCATTAAAAAATGAGTTCTGTGAACAAGGTTTTGCCAGGGTGAAAATGTTCTAGATGTGGAGGAGAGACTTCTGTTCTGCATTTGATAGGTATAGGTCCCATGTTTTGAAATATTAATGTGCTCTTCAGACTCTGTAAAAGTGGGACATTGTAGACTTGGCATTAAGATAGTACAGCTCCAAAGACTCTAAGAATCACGCCCATTTCCAAGAGATAGAGTTCTGGTTATAGGTACTGAAGGACCAAAACTCAAGCATTAAGATCCATCTATCCAAGATTGAATAGAATATGAAGTTGGGAAGGGTGCAATTTTACATTAACTTATTTGAAATATAATATTGCAAGGACAAAGAGAATTTTACTTTGGACTTTAATTTCTTTGAGTTTTAACATTTTAGAACTTAAATTTGTGAGGGGACCTAATCTTTGAGGTTTTAATTTTCCTTTGGAAATTTATGATAGGAGAGAGATTATATTCAAATTTGAGTCATCTCTTTGTTGTTGGTATTTTATTGCAGTATTTATGTATTTCGTCTTTGGAGTATGCAACCTTCAGTTTCATGGAAGGGCTTAGATGGCCTATATTGGATTAAGTGAATGTACAATACTTGCAGTGAGAAATAGAATAGGGAATGTCTGTTTAGCCTTAGTGAAGACTTGCAGTTGATCCAATTACTGTGTTTTTGTCTGCTTGCATTGTTCAGTGATCCCAGGCAGATAACAAAAGTGTAATGGTTGCAACTGGGAGCCTGGCATCATAAAAGTGGGAGCAGAATTGTCTAAAAGTACTATCCATCTTCTCCCCAAAGGAAGAGTCAGAACCCTGTTTGGCTATAGATTTAATGGTGATGCTCAGCTAGTTAAAAGAATGACAGCAATAAAAGAAAAAAAACTGTAACATATTACGGTAATGACATCAGAAAACATCTCTTTCCCAGGGTTGTCTTCCTGTGTAAGGGAATCAGTAACTTAGAAACTCGTGGCCTCTGTTCATTTCAATGGAGATGCCATGACTATTTGATGAGTAATTTTTGTAATAATAATTTTGACATAATTAAGTTGGCCATTTATCATTTTGGAAATGAAATTCTCACAGGGAAAAGATATTTAATTTTGTTGAGAATTTTGATTTCAGTGCCATAAATCTAATTTAGGCTGACCATTGTTTCTCCCCCTCAGCTAAACTCTCCCTCACTAAACTCTCCCTAAGTCCTGCTTTGGAAGGACAAGCCCCTAATACCACAGTACATTTGATGACATAGGTAAGTCTGTGAAAATCTGGCATTCAGGCTCCCTTTACTGTCAGACTAACTTAAATGTCCCAGTTTATCATTTACCAACTGTAAAGCTAATGCTTTGACATGCTTTATCCTTTGTCTTTCTGTCAAAATTTTCAGAACTCAGGTTATAATAAAAAGTATTTTTTAGTTCCCTTTAAAATTACAAATAAACTTTTGTAATACAAGACATTGTTAAGTTTAGGTTGCTGATAATCAGCTATAATTCTACAATTCTTTCTTTATGTAAAGCCAGCAGAAAAGGTAACTTTAGCTGCAGGCTGTTTCTTCCAAAACACATGGTAGCTGTGAGCAAAATTCACTCTCATTTAAATCAGTGTACCTCACAATCTAGGGAATGATATGATCAGAATTATTTGACATGGAAAAAATTATTAGTTTGTATTTAAATAGATCAAATAATTCTGATTTTAGAGACTGATTCTGTTACTATTTTTTATCATATTGAATAAAGAAAGGTGGCCACTTTCAGAGAATTGATTAGAACTATCAAATTAGAAATTTTAGTTGAATATGTTATCTGCAAATTGTTTATATAATTATTAAGGCATAAGAATTTTTGATATTTTGGAAGGTCCAAAGGAGTTTGAAACATATTTTGCTTTTTAAATGATGCAAAATGGAATATAAGGTAAGGATAAAATCCCTCTAGGGTTTTTGGAATGCAGACCAGTAATAAAAGCATGGAACCTAGTTTATGAGTTAGAAGGATAATATGTACCATAGAAATAATAGGAGCACAAGTGGGAAAATGAAAAATATAGAAGCCTTGTGTGCCTAAGGAAAGGCATTGACATTTTCAAATGATATTTGATAATGCCATTTCTGTAAATATGTTTTAAGTACAGAAACCTTTTGCATGAAAAACCTGTGGAAAGTTTTTCTTGGGAAGTCTTTAGAGACAACTAAGAAATATTTAAAAAAATAATACTGGTTTTTACTTTATGGAATGTATATCCAGATATTCTAATGTATTCTGGGACAAAATATCACTTTAGTGTTTGAATAACTTCTACACTTTCCCATCTCTTTCTTATTCTCCAACAGGGCTCAAGTTTTTATATTTTATTTTTGGGGTGTGACTCTGACCATGGTGCTGAATTCTTACCCAGTAGGATTTCCATATTGTAGGCTACGTGTACATAGAACAAAGCATATTTTGTATTAATAATCTTATATCTCTCTTTGCTTGTGTTTTATAAAAGACAAAAGAAATAATGGAGATACCCAAGATTTAAAGTTAAATTGGTCAGGCATTTTCTATCTTTGTAACTTAAGTTGTTTAAACTTTCAGAGAAAGACAAATATCATATGATATCACTTACATGTGTAATCTAAAAAAAATACAAATTAACTTCTTTACAAAGCAGAAATAGAATTACAGAGATAGAACAGAAACTTATGATTACCAAAGGGGAAGTGATGGGAATGGGGAGAAGGATAAATTAGGAGTTTGGGATTAACAGATACATACTACTATGTATAAAATAGATAAACAACAAGGATCTATTTTATAGCACAGGGAACTATATTCAATTAACTTCAATAGCCTATAATGGAAAAGAATCTGAAAAAGTATACACACATATGTGTGTGTGTGTGCACACATGCATATATATGGTGAAATAACCACTATATTTAATATATATATATATATATATATCACTTTGGTGTACACCTGGAACTAATACAGTATTGTAAATCAACTACACTTCAATTAAAAAATATAAAATAAATTTTAAAAATACAAAAAAATACCTTTCTAAGTCCAGAATTTTTATTTATTAAATGGCAGTCATCCTGGATATATTTTATAGGGTTGTTAAGGATTATACATGGCATCTCACATAAAAAGTTATTAGGCCTTTCTTCTCCTCCATAATCCTTTACTGAAAAACTAATGTCTAATTCATTACCAACTTATAGAGGTCTAAATGACTTCATTCCTATGATGCCAATTGCTGAGATAGTCAGTCATATAAACTTGATTATCAAGTGGGGCATGTTTAGACTGAATAATATTTAAAACTGTCTAAATGTATTGGAATAATCCATGTGTGATCTTTCAACTTCCAGTGGGATTTCACATAAGGGAGAAATTTTTGGAGATAGCTAATTTACAATATTTGCCAAAACTATCCACTAAGGAAAAAAAAAAACCTGATGACAAAGCTGCAGTGGAAGTATATTATTTTTGACATTTGGCTGTATATAAAGAAACATTTTGTACTATTATTCTCTTTCTATTTAAAAAGCTCTGGGACTTTAGATAAGTTACTACCCTCTTTATGTGTAATTTGTAATATGTTATGTATTTTTATTTTATAAAAGTAGTTAGTTAAAATAATCTATATACATTCACTTAGTTCAAACACAGAACAAAATGAAATAACCACAAGAAATATTTAAACATGGATCTAGAATTTGGTAGATCTCAAACCTTGTTTCACACATTCTAGGCAGTGGTAGCTACCTAATGCCTCCACCTGAGGGCTCAGGATCACCAAAATTCTGAAAACAAATTTTTCTTTACTCTGAACAAGAAGTGAACTAAGAATCCATACATAAGATTTATTTGGTTCATTATCAAGTTCTTGTGCTTTTGTCTTGAGCTTGGGATCTTTTTCTGAGCATTGTAGTCTCAAATCTCTGTTTTCATGTTGATCCAAACTTCTTTTTGGGTCTTCAGGTTTGTATTTCCTTTTCTCTGATCCCAAGTTTCAGAATTCTGGTCACCCTACACTCTTGTCTATAAAACTCTGTAGACATAATATGTATTTGCCTGCCTTCCTGAACTGATTTTTTTTTTCTGCAAGAAATCCCACACAATGTAGAGAGCTTGCAAGCTAGTTCTCTTTTACCTAGCTCTAAATTACTGTACAAATCCTTAAAAATAATAATCTCTGTGGTACCAAATAGTATAGTAGTATAATTTCTGATTGGGATTTGCATGATGTGTGTGTGTGTATGTGGGTGTGTGTTTTAAAAACTTAGATAATGGAATTAAGAGCACATCCAATGTGATATTGAGTTGTGTCAAGATGCTCTGATTTCAGAAGCCTTAACTAGAATTTAAAATGACCTTGACAAATTAGAGAAGTCATCCATCAAAAACAGTATGAAATTTAATAGCGACAACTGTAGGGTAAGTACAAAGGGAGAAACGACTAAGGATGTGTGCAAGAAGCACAGGAGTAACTCTAAGCAATTTTGTAAAAAAAATATGTGGAAACTATGGGGAGAAAAGCTGAAAATTAATCAGCATTAAATTGTTAATTTTCAAGAGCTGATATGACACTTAGATACACAGTATTATGAGCTATCATAGAAAAGCAGAAAAGTAATCTTTTGGCTTTGTAATATCTGAGGATAATCCTCTTCTAAATTTTGCCAGTAGTGAGAACTTTATTACTGAAAGATGTTTACTGGTTCTTATAACTATTTACTGGTACCCTACTGTTTAAGAGAGAAATGCTACAGACTCTCATCTGATACTTCCTTCTAACTACCATAGGCAACAAAGTAACATTCTTGTCAAAATAATACCTCCAGTATCACATTCTATAATTTTATTGTCTTCTGTATTGGACGTATGTTACATTTTGTCTGTACAGCATCTCTTTATTTTAGGAAGTGACCTCTTCCCATTTTGGTGAAATAGTTTAATCCATCATATATTCACATCTTTGCTTTCATTGCACAATCAGAGAGTGAGTGACTGAAGGACGGGCATGTAATGAAAGATAGGCTGTTTCTTAGCTATAGTAGGGCTCTTGTTTGGGTTATGAAGAAACAGCTCTTCTTTTTGGAACCCCTCAATATAGTTATGGAGTAAGCCTAGAAATTTCTTGACCCTCCTGGCATCCCTGTGTGGAAAACCAGCTTAAGCTTTAACTAATACAAAAGAAATTTAAATAAGAGTTCAACCTTGGATCAAATGAAACACAATCCTAATGATATCACTTAAGCCTTTGGATCAAAGTGGACTGAAATAACTCCCAACCA